GCTTTAGAGGTGCCAGGCCACACCCAGTTTCTGTTTTGTGCCCAGTCTAGCTCGCAGACAAGGTAGGGCTGAACGAGTTTAACCGCAGTCTGCTTGCGAGCATCGCGCAACTCGGGAAGGCCCATCGCATGCCACTCGCGGTAGCAGGCGACGTACCCCCCCCCCCTTCCAAGCTCTTCCAGAGTGACTACTGTACGAGAGCAGGGATGTATGCATTGGCCCTTGGGATACCCACACTCTGCACCAAGAAGACATCCTCCCCCCTCGACTACTTCCTGATTTACAAATGTTTCAGAGACTACGTGGATGAACCCGTGGTGCTCAAGAAGTAACCCCCTCAGTCCCCACAGGCCTGTGCATCTTGACCTGGCCGTTGGTTCGCCCCGCCTGGTCCCCGAGCTGGTGAAGCCCCAGAAGCTCCCCACCATGTTTCCAATAAGCCCGCCTCAACGCCCAGAAGAATGGATTAAAAAAAGCCGCCCTGGACCAGATGGAAGCCTTCCTGGACAAGGACATCAGCCTCGAAGCCCTCGAGGGTGCTTTTGGGGAGACCTACCAGACGCTCACTTCGGACCTGGTGAACCACATCAGCACGATCACCGATACCCCCTGCAAAGTAAAAGAATCCGAGGTCAGGAGCCTCAAGTAAAGTGGGTACCAGCGCGCGAAGCAGAAAGGGACCACCGTTGCAGTTGGCGATCTGTTGCTGAGCCACTACGCCGGCTCAAGAACAAGCTAATAGACATGCGCAGAGCCTTCGATAAACAACGATGTTCAGAACCTCGATGTTCAGAATGCCTCTGGGGATCTCCAGGCCCGCCCGAACCTTTTCGCCGGGAACGCCAACCTTGGGGCCCTCCTGCAAACTACCTGGAGCGCGGCCCCATCAGGGCTGCTAGACTTCGGGAACGACAGGCTGAACCTCAACATCGCCAGGGAGATTTTCGACGCGTTTTTCGAAGATGCCTCCAGAGCCCTTGATCGTGAACCCCAGCGGGGAAAAAACAGCGAAGAAGCCAAGTGGAAGAAGGGGTTGGTTGGGGCCACAGGTGGTCCAAAGACTTACCGCGCGAGAGCAGGTGGACTGGCCTCCCGCCAGAGTTACCGTTCGCCGAAGCAGATAGAGCAGGCAGCACGTGGAAAACCGAGGCCCGTGAAACCACCTCCCGCCAAAAGAGACCCAAAGCCCAAGCTCTCGCGGAGCTCGAACCCATCCCCCAGGCACTCAGGAAGTTTAGTCACGATAAGGCGTCCACATATGATGGGTTCCACCCTAGACATTTCGCTATATTACCGCAGCCAGAGCTCGAGCTCGCTGCCCGTCCCCCAAGCGCTTGCGAGGCGCTGGGGCTCTTCCCGAAGCAGGCGCGAGCCGCAGTCACTACCTTGATCCCCAAGCATAAGCAGCAGGCCGAAACAAACAACCCAATTACCGCGGCATAGGAATGACCGCCATCCGCCATCTGGAGGACCTGGACCCGAATTCGTCAACCAGTTGCCAAATCCTGGGAGAAAGCCAACAAGCGGAAATCTCTGGCCCACCAATCGGGCCGAAGATCCCTGGAGACCGTGCGCGACCAAGCTTTTCAAGCCGAATCCTCTCACTATGAAGGAGTAGCTAGACATGCTGCTGCCATTCTTTGGGACCTATCTAACTACTGCGAGCGCATCGATGGGGATAAATGGCATACTCGAGCGGTCGGGACAAATTCCAACCAGGCGATCGCAGCCATGATCTATAACCAGCACGGAGGGCCCAGGCTAGTAGCGAGCCAGGGTCCAGCCACCTTCGCGGGAAGCCCGCAGCACGGAATCCCAGCAGGGTGCAGCTTCAAGACTTACGTCGCCCAAATGCTTAGCCTTGTCCCGCTCGACGTCTGGGTCCAAGACAACCTTGAAACAGACCTCCACATGTTCATAGATGACCTCCTCCAGGCCCAAGATAAGATCCCAAAAACCTAGTGGCTAACCTCTCCTCCGCCGCCCTCAGCATGAAAAACGCTGTCGAAATCAACTTGGGGTGCAAAATCGCCACGCATAAGTCGGCGGCCCTCGCTTCCTCCGACGCCGTTCGGAAACCTCCCCTCCGAGCCCTGGGGCCGCTAGCTGGACCACAGACCGAATAGCGGATCGACTCGGCAGACAATTTAGGCATCGATTACACGGCTGGAGGACGGGCCCGTTCAGGCAGAGGACGAGCCACTCTCCGAGCCCGCTTCGCCAAGCCCCGCAAGCGAAAGCGGAAGCTGATGGCGCCGAAGCGCGCAGGCGCAGACATGCGCAATTTGCACGCCAAACCAACCCAGCCCGGACCAAGCCAACCGCTACGGGACGGAAGTCTTGGGCCCCACAAAGGGTGAAGTGCATCAAAGCCAGAACATGTATCTCAGCACCGTGGGGCCCAGAAGCCAGTCCAGATCCAGAACCCCCAGCTTGTGCCTCTTGTGAGAGCCAACTTGGAAAGCCGCCCTGGGGCCCGTGATCGACTACGGACTGATGGCGTGGAGACTCTCTACCCAGCCACACCTCCTCGGGATCATGCGCATTGAGTGCCAAGATAAAGTTCGAAACATCAAGCAGAACCCCCCCAGAAAGTGGACAGATTGCCGAGGACCCATAGGAGCCACCTTATGAATCTCCAGGAGAACCAACTGGAGCCCCAGGAACCCTTCGAGATAGAGAGTTCCAAGGGCCTGCTGCTCCAGCTCACCGTTGTTCCACACGCGCTCCTCAAGTGCCATCTCGAGTTGGCCTGGACGGCGAACCTCGAGAAGTGAGCCACCACAAGGATGGGAATGCCAGAGAGGTTTGATGTCACAGCTGCTAGAGAAGTGTTGAAAGCCCCCAAACTTAAATATTGTGAAAAAGGCAGCTTGATGTCCTACCTGACCAAATGCTTGTGGACTGAAACTAGGTTAGCAGCCGCAGGATACGAGCTCGACACGACGAGCTTGAGACGACATGTCGCACAGGTCCCAGTGCCCCCTCATCTACAATCTGAAATCTGAGATGCTGACGGCCGCTGATGAACCGCATTTGGAAGAGTACCCCCCAGCAGCTCCCCTTGCCCACGGTTTCCAGTTTCAGCCCCAAGCCTGTATCGCGCGCCCCGAAGGTCTTGGCCTGTCTTGGGAGTTTCGGCCCCGAAACGGTGATCCCATGGCCGTGGCGATGGCTGGGGAAAGTTTTGTCGACGGAAGTTGTTTCAAACAAAGCCCCCCGCTCTGGCACCAGATGGGATGGGCGGTATCCGTGATTGACAAAGGCCCACCAAGATGTTGAGAACCTCCCCCCAGGATCCAGGGAAGAGCTCCTGGCCATGGGAAAGGAAACCGCAGATCGATTGGCTAAAGCTGCCCGCGGAGGTTCAGACTTATGACCAGAGCCACGGTGTTTTGGTTCGCTTTCTTCGGTTTCTCGCGAAAGGCCTACCCACGTGGCCTGCGATTGCCCCGAAACCTGGCAGCAAGGCCTGTGACGGGCCAAATTTCAAGCCTGCGGAGAAGCCCCTGGCGGGTGCCGCCTTCCTGGCCCTCTCCTGCCTCCTCCCTCTGACCCCCCTGCGGTCCCTGGGCCCGAGGCTGGCGACCCTGGTGTGGGAGACCAGAAACAAGGCGGCGCCCACCATTGGGCCCAGTTAGATGAAAGCCTGTGGATGTGCGAGCTATGCAGAACCCGAGCTCGATCCGAGGCTGCATGTGCCAGATGAGACGCCCAGAGACGCCCTGGGCACTGTGCCAGTCTAGCTGCCCTCTCCGAAAAAAAACGGGCACGACATATGGTCCCGGGCTCCGGGCCCACGGGCCCCCGTCCCCCTCCCCCCCAGATGGTATGGTCCCAGGATTCCTCGGGCCACCCCCCCCCAGATGGTATGGTCCCAGAGACGACGACGACGACGACGACGACGACGACGACGACGACGACGACGACGACGACGACGACGACGACGACGGCGGCGGCGGCGGCGGCGGCGGCGACGGCGACGGCGACGGCGACGACGACGACTACGGCGACGCGACGGCGACGACGACGACGACGACGACCACGACGACAACGACGGCTGCGGCGGCGACGACGCCGGCGGCGGCGGCGACGACGACGATGACGACGATGACGACGGCGACGACGACGAGGACGACGACGACGACGACGACGACGACGACGACCTCTGAACCACCACAGCACCACACCACATCCACAGGGGGGGGGGGAGGGGGGCACCGCAGCGCAGCACCACGCCACGCCCACCTCTGAACCACCACAGCACCACACCACATCCACAGGGGGGGGGGGGGGGCACCGCAGCGCAGCACCACGCCACGCCCACAGGGGGGGGCGGGGGGGATCATCGCGCGGGGGGGGGGCCAATGGCATCAGCATTGGAGGGGGGCCCAAGCCCTGGACCATATATACGTGTTCGATCGCCTCGATAATGACAGTAGCGTGATGGCATGTTGGACTTGCGGCGCTTACAGTGAGTTCTACCCCCAGGCTTTTAAAAGCAATTGCCTTGGACGCCCCCCAGCAATAATAAGACCCACGCTCTGAACTGCTTTAAGACCTGCCGCCACCCGAAGGGAGGAATGAAGAGCAGGCCTTGTTTTGCGGCCCCCATCACCCTCGACACTTTGATCAGGGAAGCGCAGCAGGCGCTTGGGCAATAGTACAGCAAGCAAGACAGACAACCCAGTCAGACGTGCGGGTCCTCCTCCTCCTCCTCCTTACTCCTCCTCCTCCTCCTCCTCCTCCTCCTCGTCCTCCTCCTCCTCCTCCTCCTCCTCCTCCTCCTCCTCCTCCTCCTCCTCCTCCTCCTCCTCCTCCTCCTTACTCCATTCCAAAAAACTCGCATTCCAGAAAGCCTCCCTGCCGGGGGGGGGGCGGCGTGGGGCGCCCAGCGGCGAGCGGCGAGGGAAGGCCCGCCGAGGCCGCGGCGTCAGCGGGTGGGCCTCGCCGCCGTCGCTGCTGAACGTGGCGTCGGCGGCACCGCAGCCGGGCAGGACCTTCGGGGGTACAGCGAGGGCCCTTCCACAATGAAACCCTCCACAAGAAGAAACCTTCCGCCCTGGGACTGATTTCGTCCTCGTCCTGGCCCCGTCCGAAGCGTAGCGATGGGTGCTGGGGGGCGCCTCCCCCGCTCCAATCCACTTGCCGGAACTGCCGCCACCCGAGAAGCACCAGCTGATTACAGTGGGGGCCCTTCAATGCGACGGCGTCGGCGCAACGAGGGCCGACACAGGCTGCGCGTCATCGTCGGAGCCGAGCGGGATAAACGCACGCTTGGGCTGACACGCGTCCTATGGATCATCGAGCGGTGAGGAGGGCAAGAGGACGCGCCGCGGTAAGGCCACGAGCCAGGGGCCCAGCACGGCAACGCCCGAGGTGCTGGGCGGAGTCGTGCAGTGGAGGCCAGTCCACAAGCAACCTTCCGCAGGAAGCCCAACCCTGAAGCCCCAGGACGTCCGTGTACTTTTGGTGTGGGACCGTCACGCGCTTCGTCGCGGAACAATCGAGGCCCAAGAAACCCAGGGCACCCTGAAGGCGAGCAGGGTGCTTCTTGGCATGCTTCTCCACTGTAGGCATACCGTGGACACGCGAGCGACGAAAGGACACTGGTCTCACGCGAGATGCCACTGCAGCGGCCTACGCGGGCCACCAGCGCGGCACACCGCACGTGGAACGAGGGCGCCTGCGCGCGACCGTACGCGGGAAACTTGCGCGCGAATGTCGGCGCAGTCGGACCCGTGTTTGTGTTGCGTCGCGCACGTGGCCACAGGAGTGCGGGTCGATGACTACCTGCCAGACCACCCCAACCCGACCCGAAGACCCTAATCTCGGGTTGGGGGAGGGTGCGGGTCCTATATGTGTGCTTTGTTGTTGCTTGTGTTGTCGCTGTTGTTGTTGCTGATGTCGGTGTTGCTGTTGTTGTTGCTGCAGTTGTTGCTGCTGTGATTGCTGTTGGTGATGATGTTGTTAATGCTGCTGGTGTTGGTGTCGTTGGTGTTGGTGGTGTTGCTGTTGTTGTTGGTGGTGGTGGTGTTGCTGCCGGTGTTGCTGTTGCCGGTGGTGCTGTTGTTCTTACTGTTGTGGTTGATGACGTTGTTGTTGCTGTTGTTATGGTTGCTGCTGTTGGTGCTGTTGCTGCTGTTGTGGTTTGGGGTGGTTTGGTAAGCGGTGAGTCGAGAGCACGAGCCCAGCGCCTCAGGCCCCAGAGGCTGGACGGTTTCACCCGGGGCCGCAGGCGACCCAAGGAGGGGAGGGCGAGGAGGAGGAGGAGGAGGGCGAGGAGGAGCAGGAGGAGGAGGAAGAGGAGGAGGAGGAGGAGGAGGAGGAGGGGAGGAGGAGGAGGTGAGGACAGAGGAGGAGGACGGGTCGCCTGGGCCTAAGCCCTTCGGAGAAACCCTCCACCAGAGGCCCACGGAGAGACGCCGTGCGGAGACGCGGCCGTCGGAGGCCCTCGATCGAGGAGCCCAGGCCCCTGGAGGCCGCGCGCGCGGGGTACCCCTCGGGAGGGGGGGAGGGGCGCCCGCAGGGCACCCCCGAGAACGGCAGCCTCTCTGCGACCGCGTGGGAGGGAACTCAAATTCGAGGGAGGGGAAGGGGGAAAGAGAGAGGAGAAGGAGAAGGAGAGAGGCATGCAGGCTAGAGCCCCTGAGAGCGCCGTTGGCTGCTCAGGGCCCTAGGCGGCCTGCGTCCCCAGCATACTGCAGCAGACGCTGCAGCTCATCTGCGAATGCAGCCGACAGTTGGAGCGTTGGACAAGGAACCCTTAGATAAGGAACCCAGGGTCTGGAAGCTGTGGAAATAAACTCGAGGCGTTCCGACGAAAATAGAGGAACCAGCAATGACAACCCCAGTTTGGGAAGGGTACCCTTTATGTTCCTTTCTGTGCTGGGCTTTCCGCTCTCGAGGGTTTTCCGTTTCGGGTGCAATGGGAACGCGCATGAAGCAAGGGGATGCGGAACATAAAGTGACATTAACATAACAACTCGGAGGTCCGCGCGGATTTCTCGGATGCGCGCTGGACCGCCTTCCCTGGCGCGCGGAGCGCACCAGGGGCCGCGCCGGAGGCGAGGAGGAGGAGGAGGAGGACGAGGAGGAGGAGGAGCAGGAAGAGGAGGAGGAGGAGGGGGGGGCGGGAGACGAACAGGAGGGGAGGAGGAGGAGGAAAAGGGGAGGAGGAGCAGGAGGAGGAGGAGGAGGACGAGGAGGAGGAGGAGGAGGAGGGAGGGAGGAGGAGGAGGAGGAAGGGGAGGACTGAGAAGCATGCTGCCTGATGCTCGGACGGGTAGTGCACAAATTCGAGCCCAAGCCCAGGCCAGTCCCCTGTGCCGGCCGCCCGGTTGGGCGACGATCGTCCTCCCCTCCATCCTTCGTCCTCGCTTGGAGCACCATGCGAGACCTGCTCTAGAACAAAAACATACCGTAGACGAATCTACCCTTTCTCCGACCATGTACTGCGTCGAACGCAACGGCCGAGTTGTCCATAGAGGCATCCACCTCAAATGCATCTGTAGACGTCACGGCACCCAATGCTTCCATAGACGCTTTTGGCCAGAACGTGAGAACGGATTCTGGCGCTGGCCCCAGGGAACCGTCTTCTAGAAGCAGGTAGACTTGGCCCTCCTGCGTCCTCGCTCTCTCCCCTCGCCCTTCCTCAGAGGGAGGGGGAGGGGAGTGAGCGAGGGGCGACGACAGAGCTTGCATAGTCTGCATGCTCTGTCGTCGCCCTTGGCCGGCTGTCTTGCCTGGGCCCGCCCCTGCAGAAGACGGCCTGCGCAGCCCTGCCGTGGCCGAGGCCCGCCAGGGGGGTGACGATGGAGGCATTCGCTCGCTCCCCCACTCTCCTCCTCCTCCTCCTCCTCCTCCCCCCTCCCCCCTCCTGCGCCTCCTCCTCCTCCTCCTCCTCCTCCTCCTCAACCTCCTGCTCCTCCTCCTCCCCCCTCCTGCACCTCTTCCTCCTCCTGCTCCTCCTCCTCCTCCTGGTCCTCCTCTCCTCCTCCTCCTCCTCCTCCTCCTCCTCCTCCTCCTGCTCCTCCTCCTCCTCCCTCCTCCTCCTCCTCCTCCTCCTCCTCCTCCTCCTCCTCCTCCTCCTCCTCCCCCCTCCTGCGTCTCCACAATTACTCAATATGAATACTACTCTCCTCCTTCCCCTGATGACGGTTTGGGAATATTCGCCCCCCCGCGTACTGTTTTTTAACACACAAGATTCCCCGGAGTTGGGTTTTCGCCTGCATTTGTGTTCAACATGCTGCTCTCGCTGAGGCGCCGGCCTCATTTTCGGGCCCCGCTCGTTCCGAATCGTGCTCCCGCTGCAGCGCTGGCCTCATTTCAGTGCTTCCGCTCGTTCCGAATCGTGTTCCCGCTGCAGCGCTGGCCTCATTTCCACGCTTCCGCTCCTTCCGAATCGTGCTCCCGCTGCACCGCTGACGTCATTTCCCGCGCCATGCCACGGCATGCAATGCAATGCTAGGTTGCGTCCCGCTGAGCGATGCCATGCCTTCAGCTGAAGCTGTGATATGCAGTGCTTGAGTGCCACGTCGTGCTATGCCATCCTACGCTTTGATCTTCTCCGCCATGCTATGCAATGTTATGTTCGGGGCCGCTGTGCGATGCCATGCTTTGCGTTGCAAAGCTTTGCGATGCAATTCTTCACTACGCCACGCCACGCCATGCTGTGACATACTACGCTTTGCGGTGCTCTTCTACGCCATGCCATGCCGTGCTCTACAATGCATCGCGTACCCTTTCGGGATCATTGCCCTGTTCGACATCCGACTGTGCGAATAGAGAGGGGATCTACGCCATGGTAAGGATGGGAGGGAGGGGTAGGATGTCAGATATGACGCGAGCGCACCTAGCTTGTTTTCCCCCCCTCTTCCTCCTCCTGCTCCTCCTCCTCCACCTCCACCTCCACCTCCTCCTCCTCCTCCTCCCCCCCCTCCTCTTCCTCCTACTCCTCCTCCTCCTCCACCTCCTCCTCCTTCATTCCTTTGCCATATAAATGACTTCTCGCTGTCGTACCCCGAAGCCAGTATTCAGGGCGGGCCAGGCGTTTCGTTGAAGTATTCCTCACCATTCATGACCCTGCAGCTCGAAAGTTGGCAACAGTTTCATACATAGAGGGCGGGTCGTCTTCAAAATGTGGCTCTCGTCTTAGCGCCGCGTACATTCGTTTTTGCATTGTTACAAGATGTTCACGAACTGAGGGCGAATAGCTTTCAAATTCTTAGCACCGCGCACATTCGTTCTACAACTTTGCAATAGCTTCACGGATTGAAGGCGGCCCCTTTTCAAAATGTGGCTCTCGCCTCAACGCCGCGCACATCCGTTTTTTTAACCTTGCAAGAGTTTCACGGATTGAGGGCGACCCCTTTTCAAAATGTGGCTCTTGCCTTAGCGCCACGCACATGCGCTTGATCAGCGTACCAGAAATGGCGTTTTGGAAGGATTCAGGATTGAGGGCGCAACAATTATGTTGATTCGCGGTGTTGAGGCCCCAGGAATGGCTCTCTGGGACGATTCAGGATCGTCAAGACGCACCAGTCAGGATGATCCGTGGCGTTGAAATCCCGAAAGCAATGTTTTGGCATAGTTCAGGGTATTCAAGCGGTTGTCTTCTAACGAAAAAGATCCCCCAGTGGAAGTGATCCGTTGCAGGGGCCTACGATGAGAGAGCTTGGAGGGAGAGCTTAGTCCAACATCGTTGATGACTCTTGGGTTAACACTGGTCCTCCTCCTCCTCCTCCTCCTTCTCCTCCTCCCATCGTTCTTGGGCGGAAGAAGGAAGGAGGGAGGGAGGACCAGGGAGGGAGGAGGGGAGGGAGGGAGGGAGGAGGGAGGATCAATGCCCCTCCCTCACCACGTGATTGTCGAGGCCAGGCACCGGTGCGGCGCGGTGTTGCGCCAACCCCGCGCGAGGCCCGAAAGCGATGTGCGCCCCCACTGTATTCGGGGGCGCGCAAACATGGATTAGCGACCCATGGATTTTGCGAGCGGTCGC